GTGTGTGTGTGTGTGTGTGTGTGTGTGTGTGTGTGTGTGTGTGTATGTGTGTGTGTGTATTGTTTTGTTTCTTGAAATGTTGGCAATTGAGCCCAAGGCTCAGATGCCAGGCAAGGCTCCACCACCAAGCCACAGCTTGTCTGTCTGTTTTGTTTTGTTTTTTACTAATTTCTCTCCACAATTCCCCTGAAAGAGAAGTATCTGGGGCCCATGTTAAACTGGAAGGCTCACATAGAAGTGGGAGAAAGCTGAAATTTGGGGATCAACTCTATATATCTTGCCCCCTAGGATATATCTCTTTCTTTTTTTTTTTTTGTCCCTGTGTTTTCCCCTCTTCCCTATTAGCCCATTTCCTCCCCCTGGTTCTCCTTTGTTCCCTACGCCCTTTCCTTGACTGGCCTCTGAAAGGCTTGCCTTCCCTGCCTTCCTCCAACAGTCAGCAGGGGGGTCCATCCAGCGTCCCTCCCGCTGGGGAGGCTCTCAGGAGTGAGGCAGCTCTGCCCTGCCCCCACCCCGCGCTTGACTCAGTCACCACATTGCTGCGGTTTAGCCTTGACACTAACTTGACATTAAGAACTAATTAGAGCCGTTTCTGTTCTCCCCCGCCCCCCACCCCACCTCACTCCCCGCCAACCCCCCATAGCTCTGGTCACCTTGAACAGTGTCCACTGCTCTGGCCTACTCGGGTATATGGCAACCGTGCATGGGCTCAATTGCCACCTGTCAATAACAGGATTCCAGATGGAATTAGAAGCGTGGCTGGCACTGCACTGGGGAACAGAGGGATGGCGGTGATGACTACCATGGCATGGTGGGCAGTAGGCCGGGCAGGGGTTCACAGAGGGAGCAGTGGAAGGGAGCAGAGAGCAGCAGCCTTTGATACATATGGGAGTGAAAGTTCTATTTTAAGAACACCAGGCGAAAACAGAAGTTATGATCTTGTACTGTGACCCTCCTCATTTCTCATCCCACTTGAAACCCTAGGATGGCCTCGCCGATCCCAACCCTCCTGCGCTATCCTATGGCTCTTACAGGCTGACATCTCCCTGCCAATTAGAGAATCCCAAAATAGCACAGCAATTCCAACTGGCAATCTGGGGGAATTGTCAAGGATCATGAGTGACCTCCCCTCTTCACCGTTGCTCACGCTCCCTAAATACCAGGAATCAAAAGATCTAACTCAACCGGTAGAGTTTGGTCCATATCCAACACAGTCCAGGGGAAAATGAGAGAACTAGAAGCAACTGGGACCCTTTGGTGGCTAGAACTGGCAAAGAATTCCCTATTTCAGTGTTCTCTCTGTCCCTCCACTTTTGAAAGATCCACGGAGCTGCCAAGAACGAGTGGAAAGTTTCAAGGTCAGCCTCCCACCACCCCCACTTTCCATTGTCTAAAATCAGCCTCAGCTGTCCCTCAATATTTTTTTCTTGCTGGTGATGTCAGTCTATCAATGCGTGTGACCCTGTGTTCCCCCAGGGGAAGAGTGATGGGCGGGAGGGAGCTAGAAGGACCATGTTAGGAATAAGAGGTGGAGCCGTGACCACAGATAAAGGCTCAAACTTGGGGAACCTCTGGTCACTCAGGTGGCAGTCCTTCCTTTCTTGTCCTAGCCTCCCGTTCTCCAGTGTTCTCAGGTAAGCCCACCAACAGTCCCAGCTCATGATGGAGGCCATCAAGAAAAAGATGCAGATGCTGAAGTTAGACAAGGAGAATGTTCTGGACCGGGCTGAGCAAGCTGAAGCTGAGCAGAAGCAGGCAGAAGAAAGAAGCAAACAGGTATGCACTGGCATTGGCCTTTCTCACTTGCTGGTTACAAAACAGAGATGGGCCTTTAATCCCAGCGCTCAGGAGGCAGAGGCTAGCCTGGTCTACATAGCGAGTTCCAGGACAGCTAGAGATACACAGAGAAACCCTGTCTTAGAAAAGAGAGAGAGAGGTGAAAAGTGGTTGGTTTTCATGGGAAAATGAAGGAGCAGAGAATATCCAGAACAGTGGTTCTCAACTTGGGGGTCAGGACCCTGCTGGGTATCACAGGGGTTGCCTAAGACCATCAGAAAACACATTACCATTCATAACAGTAGCAGCAAATTCATAGTTATGAAGCAGCAATAAGATAATTTTATGGTTGGAGGTCACCGTGAAGAACTGTATTAAAGGGTCACAGCATCAGGAAGGTTGAGAAGCACTGCTCTGGGGTACCCACCTTAGACTGTCCATATGACCTTGAGAAAGCCGGCAGCCTCTTGTGTGCCACAGTGTGCCTGTTGGACTTAAGTAGAAGTAGACCAACTTTTTGAAGAATGTTTCACTTCTGGCACAAAAGGTAAGAACATGGTCCATTTTTCCCCTCTCTTCAAAAGCATCACAGACCCACTAGGTGTCTACCATCCAATAGTCTTGGATGGAAACTCCAGACTTGGTCATCTGAGGGCCAGAAATTATAGAGTCTGATGTCAATCCATAGGATAACACATGGAACAGTGGCTGGAGAAAGTGTGTCTCTCTGGGGCGATGATAACGCGGAGGCAGAGCTCAGAGGTCTTTAGAGTCCAAGCATGCATGGTTGTGTTTATGTCTCTGGTTACTCTTTGGGCTCCTACAGCTAGAGGATGAATTAGCAACCATGCAGAAGAAGCTGAAAGGAACAGAAGATGAGCTGGACAAGTATTCTGAAGCTTTAAAAGATGCCCAGGAGAAGCTGGAGCTGGCAGAGAAGAAGGCAGCTGATGTAAGTATTAGGGAGATGGCTTACTTGTGGGTTCACAGACTATGGGTACATAGCCAACATAATGCTTTTGCATGCAATACATGCTGCCATGCTCTTACACTGGAAAATACTTTCTTACCCAAAGACAGGTTGAAGCTGAGAGCACAGTTCAGTGGTAGCATTGCTTCCCTAATGTGCATGGATCCCCGGGTTCTACACCAAGCACTGAAAAAGAGAGAGAGACACATGGAAGTCTCATCTCTATACCACTCAACCTCCTTCCCAGTAATCTAATGCCCTTTCCTAGGACCTGGACAAAGGGAGGGGCTTCCAAGTCCAGATGTATGCTATCCGGTATCCATTTCCTCCCCCATGCCACATTCTTAGCTTTTGTGTACAAGGCTTGGCATGTGCATGTGTGTATTAATAGGGAACCTCTCATCTCTCAATTACCCAACAAAGCCAGCTTAGATTTCACAATAGGAAATGGAGGTCACATTGACCCTGACCCCATCGGGGTTTATTTGTCCCAGTCAAAGTGGGCATCTGCCCTTATGCCACAGAGATGCTATGATCCTACTGATCATAGGAGAGCAGTGAGGTATCAAGGGCGGACTATAACAGAAACTGGGAAGCAGGCGAAGGTATTGCCCCAGACCTTACTCTATGGCCCTGAAGAGATTAAAATTGAAATTAATGACCTTCACTCACTATCTATTATACTTTGGCACCTATTTTCCTTCATCATCATCAACCTTGATGTTTTCTGCAAAGAGAAGGAAGAGACTGTATAGGACATCTATTTTGAAGAAAAGTATCAGAGGATTGTTATTTATTATTTTTTATTTGGGGTGCTGGGGATTAGATCCAGACGCCCCTACATTGACTTAGCTCATAGGGATCTTAACAGTAACAAAAGGATATGTCAGTTACACAGGCATTTCTCGGCATCTGTGTGAGGAGAAAAGTAGAAGCCGATGTTATTTTAAATCACATCTGGTTTTGGAAAACAGCTTAAAGGGCAGAGTGGATCACTTACAAATGCGTTTAGATCCCCACATGCAGTCCCTGTCATGAGGCAAGTGCTCTTCTCTGGGTTCTTCACTTTCAAAAGCTCAGACATAAGGAGGGCTAGAGTACAGGACACCAGAGATGAGTGATGTAAACAGGGCAGCGTGCACTACACACAGACACAGTTTCCGGAAGTCTGGTTCGCTACACTGCTATGCCTCTGTTTTTGGAAACCTGAAAAAACAACAATATGTTGTCTCCAGGATTGAGCAAGTCCTCGAAGGCCTGCTTGAGTGGCTTAGCCTAGCTTACAGGCACAGATGGATAGATCGCCCTGGTCCTAAATCTGGAGGCAGGAGGACAGACGTTTTCACAAACTAGCACTATGTCAGGTTAGCAACAATGTTGTGAGATGTTAAGTAACACCTCCCTGGCAAGGTCCTTAGCCAGAAACAGCTAAGAACCAGGACAAGAACTAGATGTGACGCAAATCTTGGGAGAAGGAGCGGGAAGGAGACCTAGAAAGCATGCCAATGTATTTCAGAAGGGTAATGGAATTCCCTAGGGGTGAATTTTGCCAATTAGGATCTTTTACACACAGGAGTACAGTACATATACACATGAACACACACAGTCTATACAAACACTGTCTTACTACTATGTTTGAAAGAAGTTTCTTCATATTGATATAGAAATCCACAAAATATTTGTTTGTTGAGACAGGTTTTCTCTGTGTAGCTCTGGATGTTCTGGAACTCACTCTGTAGACCAGAGTACCCTTAAACTCAGAGATCTACCTGCCTCTGCCTCCTGGGTATTGGGATTAAAATCCTGTACCACCACTGCCTGGCTAAAAAATTTAAATATGTAAAATGTTGTCTTAAAATTTTAAATCCTCAACTTAACCCTGTCTGTCCCCTTTGTTACCTTTCTCACAGAGTCAGTGAGTATCTCTCACAGATATGTACAAGAACAAGAAATAGGCTGGGCATGGTGGCATACGCCTTTAATCTCAGTACTTGAAAGACAGAGGCAGGCAGATCTCTATGCGTTTGAGGCTAGCCTAGTCTACACGGTAAATTCTGGGACAGCCAGGACTATGTAGAGAAACCCTATTTCAAACAAAACAAAACATAAGCAGGGGTGGGTGGTGGATTTGTTGAGACAGAAGGAGGAAGAAAGGTATCTTTTCCCCAAGTACCATCTGTGGGTTAAGCCCCGCCACAGCCTGGTTCTGTAAGTAAACTTTTTATTAGAGCACACTCGTGCTCTTTCATTTCCATATTATCTAGTGTTCTCTCCCTCCAAAAAAATAACTGCTGCAGAGCCTGTAGAGCCAGAAATTCTCTCTGGCCCTTTCCTGAAAACTTGCTGACCACCCCCCCCCCCCACTCCACGTACGACGAGACAGAGAGGAGGGTGTCTGTCTGTAGGAACTGGGAAGAACGCTGAAGGAGAAAGGTACTGGGATTTCAACAGTGAGCGAAGATCACAATGTGTGCATCTTTGTCTAACACAGAAACGGCTCACAGCTCAGCTCCTGACCTAAAGACTAATAAGTAAGTAAGCAGCACACTGTCTTGATGGAACTGTAGAGGGAAGATGGGGAGGAGAGGGCCAGTAACTATGTGTTTACACCAGAGAAACCTTTCTGAATGGGGAGGGTTTTCTAGAGCTGCTTCAACAAAGAAAAGGCAAGGATGTGGCAAGGTCAGCCCTATCTTGTGGGTTTTCTTCCCAGCGTTTAGTTACTATCATAGTTTATAATTGTAGCAAAATATACAGACACAATGCCAGGCAGTGGTGGCGCATGCCTTTACTCCCAGCACTTGGGAGGCAGAGGCAGGCAGGTCTCCGAGTTTGAAGCCAGCCTGGTCTACAGATCGAGTTCTAGGACAGTCAGGGCTACACAGAGAAATCCTGTCTCAAAAAACAGTGTGTGTGTGTGTGTGTGTGTGTGTGTGTGTGTGTGTGTGTGTGTACTTACACAAAATATACAGTTTTAACCATCTTGAGGCTACAGTTTGGTGGCAGCAAGTATATATTTACATTTTTTTGTGTAACCATGTGTAATATTCTTTTGTATGGGTATGGATGTGTACGTGCTTGCCTGTGAGAGTGTGGAGGCAGAGGTTGTTTTTGAAACAGGGTCTCTCACTGAACCCAGAACTCACTGATTAGCTAGACTAGCTGGCCAGCAAGCCCTGGAATCTACATGTTTCTACACCCCCCACCCCCCTCGCCCCCAGCACTGGGACTGCAGAAGCACAGAGCCACACCTGCCTTTTATGTGGGTGTTGGGGAACTGAATTCAGTTTCTCGTGCTTGAACATATCCAACCCATAAGATCCTCTTCATCCAAGATGAAATCAGAAGCTGTTCAGGGAGAAAGAGGAATGCAATGGGTAGGACGCAGGGCATGGGAGTCATAACACTCTTTTTTTAGGGACGTGTGTTGGGAGGGATGAGGACAGAAAAAGGATGGACAGAGACACCTGTTGGTGTCTTGTATTGTTTGTCACCAGGAAAACAATACACTGGCTGGTCTCCCTGCTGCCAATCCATCATGCCTCTAAAAGCTATCTCAGGAGTCTACCCATCTGCTTCCCTGGATCAAGAGATTATCTGTACAAAGGCACCAGCCTCAGGAATGCAGGCAGTGTTGGCTCAACTTTGGTTTGCCTAGGATGAGGTCTAAGGGTACAAGGAGGTAGAACAGTGCCACCTGCTGGTCAGCACTCAGATGACAAAACTTTCACCAGCAACTCCTCTGAAGAGACTTACCACAAGCTTGAGAAATACATAGGCCCTCAAGCCAGGTGTTACTGAGTGTCAGAACCTTGCTGTTCTGTCTTAGATTTTGGGGAGGTGGGTGGGAATAAAGATGTACAAGATACTCTACTGAGAAAACTATTGTTTGTCCAAGCTGTTTCTTCTGAATAGTTTAGCTGTTGCAGTCTTTTTTCTTTTTTTTTTTTCCTGAGAACCAGAACCAGGCATGGAAAGCAGTAAGTGTCTGGCTGAACCCAGAGCCACCTCAGAGCTAAATCCCCAACCCCAGGTCAATATGTTCAGTTCTAAGTCCTACTCCATAGACCATTTCTCAAGAGAAGAGAAGAGTTGTATCAAAGGAGGAATCCATTGTTATTACTTTCGAGAAGGCGGGAGAAATACAGAGAAGCATAGGTAGGGTGTGGCGTTCACACCTGAAATTTCAGTACTTAGGAATCGGATTAAGGAAGTGCCCAGAGCTTAAGACAAATCAGGGCTACAAAAGTGAGTTGATGCCAACCAGGACTACCCTAGACACCATCTCAAAAAACAAAAACAAAGCAAGCAAACGAAAACTAGAGAAGCAAAGAGAAAACAAACCTCTTTACAGTTGTACTTCCAGAAATCCTGTAGGTCGGCCCGGAGACGCAGTTTTAGCTCATATAATAGTTCCTTGGAGCCAGGCAGTCATGGCGGACGTCTTTAATCCCAGCACTTGGGAGGCAGAGGCAGGCAGATCTCTGTGAGTTTGAGGCCAGCCTGGGCTACAGAGCGAGATCCAGGACAGGCACCAAAACAACAGAGAAACCCTGTCTGGGGCGGGGTGGGGGGGTGGGGGAGTGGGGAGGGGTGGGGGGAGTCCTTGGGGTAATTGAAGGCAGTAAAACTGATGAAAGCTATTACAGCTGAGAGGTTAAATTCCACAATAGTTTTCCAGATGTCTTGCTGTTGCACCAAGGATATGATAATAGGGGAACCTTAGTAAGGAATTTTTATGATAGAGACACTAAGTATCTTGTCTACAAAAGGGGTTGTACATGAAGATTAAATTTCTAAGTCCTAAATCATTCCAAGGGCCAAAGGGGCTGGCAGGTTAACTGATGGTACATCCTGACTCTCAAAAGCAACAGGAGACACAACTGTATTCTAAACAGAATGCTAAATTCACACCTGACCTTATAGAGTGCCAACTTGCCCATCTCTTCCACCCCTGGAATCCCTTTGTTGACTTCCAGGAGATGGGTGAGAATCTATCTGAACAGTTTTTTGTTTTGTTTTTGTTTTTTGAAACTAGGTTTTATGTAGCTCAGACTAGCCTTGAATTCACCATATAGCCAAGGTGACCTTGAATCTTTTATCTTTCTTTCTCCCTGCCACCCCCCAGTACTGAGATTACCGATATTTGCCACTATGCCAGTTTGCATGCTTCTGGAGATCGAGTCCGGGGCTTCGTGCGTGCTAGGCTAGTGCTCTACAAACTAACCAATATCCACAGCCCCTCTGAATACATTTTCAAGGGAGTTCACTGGGACTCTTTCTTTGCAAGATGAAGTCGCGAGTCTTTTAGGCTTTTCTCAGAACCTGGTTTTGGAGTCTGCCGGAGACTGAGTAGAAGTGAAAGCTTGTGGGATATTTTATGTTGCAGAGTGGAGAGGACACAGGGGTAGGGAGGCCCTGGATAAGAGAGGGGTCAACCGCGGAAGTGTTTAATGCAGCACCACACTGGTAAATGGGCCAACCATTGTTGGGAGGCAAGCTGGTGGGTGAGGCTAGACCACGAAGCGCCTCTCAGTTACTATGGTAGCCTTACCCAACCCCACCCCCCTTTACTGGTCTGAGGAAAGACCGCCCTGAGCGGTCACCTGGGGCGACTGGGAGGCTCCACCCCTCACTTTCTGCCCACCGCCCCTCGAGTGGACTGCGTTCCCGCCTGCTTGGCAGGGGAGGTGGGGAACGCGCGGTGGCAGCGGCGTCACATCCGGGCGGGTGGGTGAGTTCCGGTATTTCAGGGCGGAGCAGGCGGAAGTAGGGTGAGAAGCGGCTACAACGCCGAGCGGAGGAGGCAGGAACCCGGATTCCAGAAGCAGCTGGGTGGGCACCATGGCCGGGATCACCACCATCGAGGCGGTGAAGCGCAAGATCCAGGTTCTGCAGCAGCAGGCGGATGATGCGGAGGAGAGGGCCGAGCGCCTCCAGCGGGAAGTGGAGGGAGAAAGGCGGGCCCGGGAGCAGGTAGGCGCGGAGGGCGAGGCGCAGCAGGGCAGGGACCGACCGGCGCCCCTCTGCTGGGGAGCTCAGCTCCACCGTGTCCTGGAGGCTCGGACTGGACGCTGATCCCCGAGGTTGGGTGGGACGCGGTTATGATGGCCAGGTGGGCGAGCATCGGAGGAAACTAGGTGCTCGCGCGAGCAGCAGGCTGCACCCTGGACAGAACCGAGCCCCGCGCGGCGCGGGCTGCCCTTTCCCTTCTTTTCTTCCCCAGCTCATTCATTCGGTCCCTCGGAGCCGGGCGCGGCCAGGGGAGGGGCTCAGCGGCCCTTCCCTCCCCCCACTTCTCCGCGAAGGGTGGGGACCCTTTGCTCTCGCTTGAGGTTTCCGGCCAGAGGGGTAGAAGTAAGTGTGTGCTCCTCTGGTCCGGGAGGGGCCGAGCATAACCTGTGAAAGAGGGGGGGTAGGAGGTGGGAACCGCCGGAAAGCCCCCGGCTCGGCCTGCTGGCAGCTTTTCCGCTCCCTCCTCCTGCTCAGGAAATGAGCCAGCAGTTGGCTGAGAGGAAGCGCGGTTCCCTCCCTCACTGGCGGAGCTTAAGGCCTCAGCACCACCTCCCGTCCTGGAGCTTGGGGACCTTTTGTAACTAACTGGTACTCCCGCCCCTCAGTCGGTGGGAAGTGGGAGAGATGATGCTCCTTCCCGACGTTAGCCAGTAAACTTACTAGGCCCTACCCATCACGACCTGGAAGGCAGGAGCTGCTTCTGCCAGATTTCAGGCCTGAAGTGTGAGCAGTGCAAGTTAGACTTAGAGAGAACACTTCTCCTAAGCAGGGCTGATAAGGGAGTGTATGTATAGCAGAGAGTCGATGCCAGGCCAGTCTCCAAGTTCCTGATTGATCTGAACACTGGAGGATGGAAACAGATTAATGAGTGGCAGTGGTGATTGGGGGCGGAGGGCTGCTTTCTCGGTTACTCTGTGCAGTGGTTTTTGTTCAGCTGTTGGTGGGATGAATGGATTCTTGCGAAAGACCTAATGAAAATAACTGTGGCTTATTGGTGTTCTTTATTGCTCTTCTTGTTGGTGTCTGTCTTCCCCTTTGCTGCGTGTGTGGAGAGTAGCAGAAGAATATTTTTGAGGGCCAAAAGGGATGAGTGTGGAAACGTAGAGCCTAGCTCCCTTCCAAATTGATGTTTAAGCATCATTAAAATACTTGTATTAATGGGCATGGAGATGCCAGAGCTTACCTTCACCAACACATTTTCCTAGACGTCCAGTATGATGGTCTTGAGACCCCGAGCTGTCCCTTTGTATTCCCACCAATCCTCCTGCCTAAACCTCCCAAGTGCTGGAATTACAGGCTTGCTTGGCCACTCCTAGCATGCCTACGGCTTCTTATCAGTTCTAATGAGATTGTTCTAGAGATGAGAAAGTCTTAAAAAGGGAAATGGGAGAGTCCAGTAGAAGGAATTGACCATGTGCTGCAGTCTTAGGCTGATTGTTGAAGTATGGGTAGCCTGGGAGTGGTTTTAGGGTAGGTAGGGTGTGTCTGTCTGTCTCAGAACTTGGTCATTTTCCTTGTAGGAAAATTCGGCTTCCCCTCCTTGTGCATGATGACTGTGGGGTGATAAGCAGCAGAGTGTGTTTTCTTCGCCTGTTTCAGAGCTTACCAAATGTGCCTCTTTCACGGAAGTCTCCTGAGGAAGTCCTCCGAATGAGGAAGTAGGGGGGTAGTTAAATATTGATGAGACCAGTATCTTCTTTGTGAGCTTTTGACTTTCTGCGCCTTTGAACTTTGAGCCCCTACTAAGGAGTCATAGTGTGAAGAGTGGGTGCTTGGGTTGCCTGTCCTTAGGGCTACTGTGGATGTGGGGTCTGCAGGCTCCCGCCGCCAGCACTGCCTGGTGCTATCCTGTGCTGTTATGCTAGCAGGCTATCCGGTCCTTAAGTGGTGCAGGGGTCAGATCTAGGGCCTTACGCTAGACAGACTTTCTACCACTGAGCGACACCCTTGACGCTGTCCTGTCTAAAACAGGTGACAGCAGAAAACTTAAGTGTGTTTATTGTAAGTGATAAAAGCGCATATATGACATAACATTTTGCCTGTCCAGGCTGGCCTTGAATTGCTGGACCCAAGTGGTCCTTCTGCTTCAGCCTCTGGGATATTCTCTGGCGTTCACTGCCATGCCAGGACCTCCATTTTAACCTTTCTTTTTTATTACTGTTTTTATTTATATGCGTGTATGTGTGTCTGACCCCTGGAGTTGGAATTACAGGTGAACGCGCTTTCCCAGCCCACCGTGTCGGGACTGGGGACCAAAGTCTGCGACAGCAGCCAGTGCTCTCTCTACCTGCTGAGCCGGCTCTCTAGCCCCACTGTAACCATTTTTAAGTGTATGGTTCATTTACTCCTTAAAAAAAGTGTTTTTCTCCCAATGTCCCGGGGTAGTTTTCATTTAGTTACATTGGAAGTACTGTTACGGGAAGGAGGGTGGGCTTTGAACAGTGGTTCTGGCCTTAAGCCCAGATTCTTGGTCTCTGAAGGGGGTTAGGGCGTTCGGCAGTATGTGCAGTATGTCCGTGTGTTTGGTGGACACATAACAAGCATTATGACCTCTCTGGCTTAGAGGTTTGGATTGGTTTGGCTGCCGCTTGCTTCCCCCCACCCCCCCCCTTTCAGAGCACACTCCTCCAGGAGAGGCAAACAGCCCTTTGCTCTAAGTGCCTCTGCTTAGACTCCACCTTTGTTGACTCTGGGGCGGGCAGATAACGCTAATTCCTAGCTTTCCTCTCCCTTGGTAAAATTGAAATTTCTGGAGAACAGGGAGGGCCTAGAGCTCCCTGGTGGAGCTCTGTGGACACGGTGTGTCCAGCAGTCCTTGCTTCAGCTCGGCCTGACTCTTCTAGTTCTGTCTCTACTTTGAATTACACCTGTGACTTTTATCTAAAAAGAGAAACCCCAGTGTGGCAGAGTGCCAGATTTAGACTTATCCCCTCTGTCCTTGGCCCTGCTCTGCCTCTGACTTACCAGCTCCCCATCCGCTTCTTACTTTAAGGGATGTAATATGCTTTGGGCGTCTTCCTACATTTTTTAAAAAATTACCTTATTATTATTGAGTATGCATATAATCTATGTGTGTCAGCATGCATTCCATAATGTGTGTGGGGCTCCGAGTACAACTGTGTGGAGTCTATTCTCTCACCATCACTCGGGTTCAGGGGATCAACCAGATTGTCAGGCTTGTAGAGATGGGAAGCAATCACCTTTACCCACTGAGCCATATGGTCAGCCCAGTGTAGTGTTTAAACTAAGCTTATGTCATAGCCAAAGCCGTCCGCCATTTTATTTATGTATTTGTTTTAGTTTGCTTTGCTTTCTCTGTGTAGTCCTGGCTGTCTTGGAACTCACTACGTACATCAGGCTGGCCTCGAACTCACAGAGATCCACCTGTTTCTTTCTGCCTCCCGAGTGCTGGGATTAAAGGCGTGCGCCACCACCGCCCGGCATCAGCCATCTTTTAGTATGACCAAATGGCCGCACTTTCCACCACCAGGGTTTAGCCTCCTGAACAATGGAGAATCCTATTACTGTTGAATGGAGGACCTCACACTGTATCCTCCAAGGTGCCGGGAGGTAGGCAGTCTCTGCTGGGTATTCAGGAAAAACCTAGGATTAATTGAAAAAACAGGTAGTGTAGTGTTTCTCAGGATCAGGCTAGTCTGCCCAGAGACTTGATGATGTTGACCTGAGTGATATGTGTTAGCTCTGGCTTAAAGGAAAAGTCAAGTTGTCTTCCTTATTCTTTAAGTGGAGTATCACATCTTGAATTTTCAGGCTTTTGTTTCCTTGTAAAGAGAACTGATCTGCTGCAGGGGAAGAAGAAGAACATCCTGTCCTGGACCCACCACCCACTGGTCTGTCTGAAGCCCGCAGGGACTCCTTAGTCTTTCTGCTTTAACTCGGGCTCGCTCTTACGGGCTCGCTCTTACAGGAGCACCAAGATGTATTTTCTCTTCCTCCTTTTTCACCCTTGTGAAGAATTCAATTGTAAATGCTGTTTTGTAGGAGAAAGTGTCAGAGCCAGCTTGTTGCCATGGAAACTGTACCCTGCCCCATAGCCTGTTATCTTTTTCCAGTTTGAGTAACTAGGAGATGGATGGTGACTTACATTTCATGTGCTTCCTACGGATCCAGCTGCATTTTTCTTGAAATTTTTTTTTAGATGTATTTTATGTATGTGAATGTTTCACCTATGTGTATGTGTGTGTACCATGAGTGTGCCTGGTACCCATGGAAGTCAGAAGAGAGTTGGAGCCACAGACACTGTAATTATGAATGGTTGTGAACCGCCATGTGGGTGCTGGGAATCAAACCCGGGTTCTCTGCAACAGAAACGGGTGCTCTTAACTGCCGAACCGTCTCTCCAGGCCTTCAGCTGCGTTGTTTCATGTTTTCATTTTGGGCATCCGAAAGGGGTGAGTACTGTCTAGTACCGGGTATTTCAGAGCCCCGTCCTGATAGCCCAGCTTGCCCTTGACTGGTTGCCTTGTTGGGTTTGTGAGGAGAAAGCTGCTGTCCTGCAGGACATGTGTTTTCCTAGAAGAGAAGGAACTGGAGAATGCTCGTCTTTGTAGTGTTCTGAATGGTGCAGTTAGAGACACAAATGGCTTCTTAGAATTTCAATTTATGTAGACTGACTTCTCGGTCTTCTGTTCCTGTAGCCCGGCCTCCCGCCTCCTTCCCCGGTCTCTTGAATCTCCTGTGTTTGTATGTGGAAATTTTTGTTCCGATCCTGATTGTTAGCAGGAGTCTTGTCTGGTTATATCCCTCCCCATAGGGCTAATGGCCCAGATTCCTCAGCTGCCGCCACCCTTGCCTGTTAAGAGGAAACCAGGGTAATGGAATTCAGGCACAATCTGGGCTGGAGAGGAGAGCTAGAGTTCACCAGGATGTAAGCATCTGAACTTTACCGTGTGCAGCCAAGATCTTTAAAGGGTTTGGTTTGCTTGCTTATTGAAACAGGGTCTCCCTGTGTAGCCCAAGATAGCCTTGAACTCATGGTCTTTATGTGTCAGTCTCCAGAGTGTTAGGATAAGGGCCGTGTACTATCTCACCTCTGAGACCACTTCCTGTGGACTGTGTACAAGCTTCACCTTTTCCTTTGTTTCTCGTTTGTAGCCAGTTCATGACTTACTGTGTGTGAAAGCCAGGGAAGTTACTGTTATGAATTGTACTGAAGTCGGGTGAAGCTTAGGAGGTTGTTAGAGTAATAGAAAGGCATTCCAGACATGCAGAGGAGTGGCAGCGGGTGGGGGCTAGCTTGTTTGTTTGTTTGATTTTATAATGTTATCAGATTATACTATTCTTTCTTAAGGTAATAAGGGAGCATATTGAGGGGTAAGGTGGGGGAAAGGTGAGCGAATGTGAATGCATATTGAATGTACATATGAGAGAGAGAGAGAGAGAGAGAGAGAGAGAGAGAGAGAGAGAGAGAGTGTGTGTGTGTGTGTGTGTGTGTGTGTGTGTGTGTGTGTAGGTCAGAGGACAATTGATGGAAACTGGTTCTCTCTACCGATTGGGTCCTGGGGATTGAACTCAGGTCCTCAGGCTGGCATCTGGTGCCGTCATCTGTTGAACCATCTTTCTGGCCTCAGATGTCCCAATCTTGTCGTCTGTGCTTTCCTATCAGAAAAGCTGTTCCAGAAAGTTGGTCATCCTCCTGATGTGTTAGGGTAAGGTGATCAGAGGGTTTACAAACTGAATTTATGTGTTGTAAAATAATATAAACACTAACTAGAAATATAAGAAATGTTGCTGTTTGGCATCCTGTTGTATGCCCGTAACCCCAGCATTTGGGAAGTAAAGACGGGAGGATCAGGAGTTGAAATCCAGAAGCAGGTATCCATTTATTGAGCATGAGGCAGAAGTGTCTTCTGGCTGCTTTCTTGAGACAGGATCTTACTGTGTAGCCCAGGCTAGCCTCAGACTCACAGAGACCCACCTGCCTCTGCCTCCTGCGTGCTGGGCTTGAAGGCCTGTCATCATACCTGGCTTTGTTGACTCTTAGAGGGTCCGGAATTTGAATTGAGTCCAGAAGAGAGAGGATAATAACTGTCTGGACAAGGAACTGAATTTTAAAACACTCTTCGGGGTTGAGGGTATGTATCAGTTGTTAGAGTACCTGTCTGGCATATATGAAGCCTGGCTTCCATCCCTAGCAAAACATAAAGTGGACATTACCGTACATACCTGTAATCCCAACACTTGGGAGATACTATATGGCACGTTCAAGGCCAGCTTTGGACACGTGAGATTGGATTACACAAACAAAACATTTTACGTAGAACAAATGGGAGTTCTTAAATGGGAAAGGAAGAAATTGATTTATACTCCTATGTGTCAGATCTAAGCATGTGAGCCCAAACCGCTCTATCCTCCTCGACTCTGGCGTCTTCACAGTGGTGGAGTCTAGCCTTCTGTCGTGTTGGTTCTTTTCACCAACCCTGTTTCCATTTCCCATTGACTTAAGGCCGAAGCTGAGGTGGCCTCCTTGAACCGTAGGATCCAGCTGGTTGAAGAGGAGCTGGACCGTGCTCAGGAGCGCCTTGCTACTGCCCTGCAGAAGCTAGAGGAAGCAGAAAAAGCTGCTGATGAGAGTGAGAGGTATGTGGGGGAACAGGAGGGAGTGTGGATTCCACAAGCATCTGCCAATGGGGTAGATGGGTGGTGGAGCATCCACCTGCTGTGCCTGAGGGGTCCCAGCCCCAGCACCGCGAACAATGTAGTTGATAGTGGCTCTGACCTAGGTTTCCCTCTGGGCCTGTTTTTTGTTTTGTTTGGGTTCTTTGTTTGAGGCCTGGTCTCAGGTAGCCCACGCTGGCTTTGAACCCTCAGGCCTCTCAGCTTCTCTTCCCAAGTGCTGGCATTACAGACCTGTGCCACCACATCCTGTTCTGGACTTGTTTTTGTGGATTGAACCCAGCATCCACATTGTATGCTATGCACATCCTCTACCACCAAGTTACATTCCCAGCCCCCAGATCTACTTTTTAAATGGTCTCCAAAGTGTTCGTTCTATAAGAAAAAGTTTTGGCCGGGCGGTGGTGGCACACGCCTCTAATCTCAGCACTCAGGAGGCAGAGGCAGGTGGATCTCTGAGTTCGAGGAGACCTGTCTAAGCATACATGAGGCCTGCCTAGCCAGGGCTACACGGAGAAACCGAAAAAGAAAAAGTTTTCAATTAAATGGCACAGGCGCCTAAGTGCTATTGGATTTCCATTTGGGTGGCAGACAGGATGGGCTCTAAAGGACGGGATTCCGAGTCCTTGAGGTGGGGCTGGCCGCACTCCTCACAGTGATTGCTGTGCGCATTTTATATCTGGCAGAGGTATGAAGGTGATTGAAAACCGAGCTCTAAAAGATGAAGAAAAGATGGAACTCCAGGAAATCCAGCTAAAGGAAGCGAAGCACATTGCAGAAGAGGCAGACAGGAAGTATGAAGAGGTGGGTCACCTCTGCAGTGACTGCAGGCTCCACAAAGACAGTCCTGAAAGCGGATCGCGCTTGCTTGCTTGAGCTGTACTAGGGTCTTGTCTTATAGGTGGCTCGTAAGTTGGTGATTATTGAAGGAGACTTGGAACGCACCGAGGAACGAGCGGAGCTGGCAGAGTCGTGAGTATTTTGTCTCCGGATCTTGCCAGACTGTCCTGCCTGCTTGGGCACTAATTCGAGTCAACTAGCATTCCTTCGACCTTGTTAAACAGGCCTGGGAGGTGGTAGTCAGCTAGTGCTTTTAGCCTCTAAGAATGGCTTTGGGCTTTCTCTTCTTATGTTGACTAGTAACAGGTAACAAGGCTTGCTTATCCTTGGGGAGATTCTCAAGTTAAGGGAAGGGCGAGACTAATATGGCATACAGCTAGCCGGAAGATCCTGTTGGGCCCTTCCGCCTGGAATCTCTTCCTCCTTGGGCCGTACTGACTTCAGACCTGGTCTCTGTTATTACCAATCTGCCTGGGAACTTGAGAGCAAAGGCTTTAGAGAAATCACCTGCTGCCCGTTGGTACTGGCTTGGCCTTGTGTAACAAAGTCAGCATGGATGAGTCTATGTTTGTGCTTGCCTTGCATCCCCCCGCTCCCGACATGACATATCATGACCATGGTGATGTTTTCTTCCCATTTGTTTGTTTATTTTTACCTCCCCACCCCCACCCCATTTTGCGGCTTGTTTTCTCGCTGTTCCTTTTTTAACCTTTTCCCCACAACCTGGCTTGTGCCATTCCCGTGACTGCCACTAACAGCCGTTGCCGAGAGATGGATGAGCAGATCAGACTGATGGACCAGAATCTGAAGTGTCTGAGTGCTGCTGAAGAAAAGGTACTAACCATTAAGCCCACGGAGAGGTTCCGTGCGTGTGCTCTGGTTTTGAGTTCGGTTTTTTGTTCTGCGGCTGCCTCCCCTCCACCAGTTGATGTGTTTGTTGAGTGCTCTCTCATCTCTCCATGGAATGCTCCATTCCTTTCCACTTGGCATCTCTCATCTCTTCTTTCCTAGTTGCTTCACTGCGTCCCCCGAAGGGTCTTGGCCTCCCTTGGGTGATTTGGGGGGTCGTTTGGGGTGGGCATCCGTCCCCACCACCACACCCAAGTAGCAGTTGTAACTTGTTCCTGGTAGTGAGTGATTTCTCTCAAGTGTTCTTTCTTTATTAGAGCCAAACACCCTGAGCACAGGAGGTCCAGCTCCTGGCATCCATGTTCCACGGTAGAGGGAGGAGGGTTGATGCTTGTTGCTCAGGTTACCCAGAAACTTTTCTTCCCCATGTGCAGTCCAACTCTCTCTACACATAGGTTCAATTCACATCTGTGTGTCTCTCTCTCTCCCCCTCTTTTTTTTTTATATTTCTTCCTCTTCCCCTTTCCTTTCTGCGGTATTTAACATATTCACAGTAAGTGTTCTGAGCTGGAGGAGGAGCTGAAGAATGTCACCAACAACCTCAAGTCTCTTGAGGCTCAGGCGGAGAAGGTAGGGGCTGGTGTGGAGATGGCAGGCTTTGGGCCTGGGCCCAGCCCTGCCCTCAATGAAAGACTAGACACGCCCACTCCTCCTAACCCAGTGAAGTGTCCTCTTCTCCCCGCCTCTCCATCCAGATGGTAGGGTTAGTGCTAATTCCTATCTACCTCCAGGGCTTAGGTTCACATGTGTGGGTGTCTCCAGTGCCTGGGGTCACGTGCTCCTCCAGCTGATAGTGCTGCACTAGAAGGGCAGTTGGCCAGATAGTACTCTGTGGACTTGCAAACACACAGATGGGGTCAGCAGAGCACTAGCTCTCCAGACCTACCTAGTAGCAGTCAAGACAATTGATCGCCATTTACCACCGAGAGGGAAAATTTTAACTGTGGATTCCTGCTGGTTAACTTGGAGAAAGGCAAAACACTTTGGGATGATAGATAGGGGTAAGATCAAAGTTTAGGTCTGTTAACAAAAGAAAAAAGAAAAAAAAAAGTCCTGGCAGAGTTTACTCTGCATGTTTTATGTGTGGAAATGGTTGGGTCTTGAGACCCATTGTCAAAAACTGGTCCTTGATTTTCGTTCTGGACCATTTAGTGCATCCAATCTAGGAGAATGTCTATGAACCATGTAAGACTAACGTGGCTGTTTTCTGTGAGACCCTTTCTACTCTGACATTTGGATCTACTTCTCTTCACAGTACTCTCAAAAAGAAGACAAGTATGAAGAGGAAATAAAGATTCTTACTGATAAACTTAAGGAGGTGAGCTGAGGAAACATAGAAGGCATCAACATTTTAATAATAATCAGCCTTGCTGGCCTTGGTTCTCAATGGCCTACAAGCCTGAGGGGAAGAAATGACCGTCTTTCATTCTGATTGGACTTCTGTTTCCTCAGGCAGAGACCCGTGCCGAGTTTGCGGAAAGATCGGTAGCCAAACTGGAGAAGACCATTGATGACTTGGAAGGTATGGAGCATGGGGACATTGAGAGAGGAAGGCCTGGCCCATTAATCTTGAGCCTTTTCTCTGTTCATCAGAGGGATTTGGTAGTGACTTGGAATATATGATGTGCCCTGTCCTATGCTATAGTGGCGAGGCCTTGGCTCTAGGTGTGTCATACCCTAGAGTTGGATTTTTTTAATCTTTTCCTCTAATAAGACTACTTATTCTGAAATCTGCTGTCTTTCCTTTGAAAAGATGTAAGGACTGTATTTATCTCCAATTTAGTAATCTTAAATCTTGAGTTTGAGTTGAAATGGAAGCCATGATTTTTTTTAGGAGATAGTGAAGTCTTGTGTGTGACCCTGGGGCCACACTAGGCAGTTCTTTTTATCACTCAAGTTGTATGACACTTCTCCAGGAGATAATAACCAGTCTCAGAGCTGCACAGTGTTGGGGCTGCTTCTTCTTGGGGTTCGGCAGCTGTGTCCATCCTCCTTAACAAGGAAACAGTCTTTGAGAGCTTCCCTGGATATGTTCTTGGTAACTGGCTGTTCTTTGGAAGGCCTTGGGGAGGCAGCCTGTAGAGCAAAGGGCCCATGAGTAATGATCACATTGAGTAAGCGGAGAAGTGTCCCCATTCATATGAGCTTTCTCCCTTTTCTGTCTTCCTTAAGTGTTACCACTGGTTCGGAATTGGGTGGGAGTAGTGTCCCTGGGTGCCTGAGGTAGCTGGCAGGTGCTCAGGTTCTCAGATCTTGCTGCATTGGCCTAGAGACATCAGGAAGGTCTGTTGGCCATGGGGAAAGTCACTTGAAAACGGCCAGTCACCGCTGCCAGAATAGTTTTGTTTTTGTCTTTTTCCTTCCTGGTTTTAGACCCACAACCACATTTTTCCTATTTATTTTCTAATGATTCCCTTTCTTCATCTGCTTCTGATACCTTTCACTTTATCCCCTCCATCATCCCCGTGGTTCCTGTGCCTGTCCAGACGAGCTCTATGCCCAGAAACTGAAGTACAAGGCCATTAGCGACGAGCTGGACCACGCCCTCAATGACATGACCTCTATGTAACTATCAGGCAGCAGCGTGGGGCTGGGCTCCTGGCTTGTGGGTGAGGGTGCAGGCTGCGTGGAGTGCGCTTGGGCTTTGTCCTTGACTCTCAGCCTTCACCCAACGTTGGTGCTGGTTATTTGCTTGGCAGAACCTGGGGAGATGTTAAATCTTGGATAGAATTTGTGTTCTCTCTTACTCTCCCATCTAGTTCTATCAGGGTCGAATTCTGTAAGCCATGTTGACCTCAAACTCCAGATCCTTCTGACTTTACCGTCAGCCACTAAGATTACAGCCATGTGCCATGTGCCCCGCTCTCCTCTGCACTGGGTTTTCACTCTTGTTTCTCAGTGCCAGGTGTGCCGGGTGGGGTGGCACACAGCTGCAGTCCGGCGGTCTAGATGCTAAAGCAGAGGGATTGATGATGCAGGTTCAAGGCCAGCTAATGCTGCACGGCAAGACAGGGTCTCAGAAGCAAAACACAACACGTGGTGGTGCTGCGCACCTTTAATCCTGGCCTAGGTGATCTCTGGAGTTCCAGGACAACCTGGTCTACATAGTGACTTCCAAGACAGCCAAGGTTACGTAGAGAGACCCTGTCTCAAAAAACAAGAACACATGAACACAAATCCTTATTTGTGCCCTGAAATGAAAGCTAATAGGACATTTCCATGATGAGAAGCAGCCAGTTTAAGAATTGAGCGGAGTCCCTAAGCAAGCCAACCAGTGAACAGCACCAAAAGTTTTGGGGGACTTAAATGATTCCTAATGCTAATCTGCGTCTTCTGCCCACTAACCCGGAAGTGGCTGAGTGTTGTACCTGAAGTGTCTGGCTCTCCCGCTCTCTCCCCTTTCCCTTCTCCCAGACTGCTGCCTCAGTTGAGCCAGCCCTTCTCACACGGAGTGTCCTTTTCCATACAGATAAACTGTCACCGTTTCTGCTCTGTTCTGGATCTACCCCCTTTCCTTGGGGAACCCAACACCCCACTCGCTCTGGATTCCATTTGGGTCAGCCTGGCTGGTTCCCAAAGCCTTAGGGCTGGGGCTTGGGGGACACAAAGCAATTTACATATTTGCTTTCCCCCCCATCCCAGATTAAAATGTTAAGCTGCCAGAAGCCTCACGTCCTCCTGCCTGCCTTTGTTATTGACAAAGCTGTTAAGACGGAGACTTGCCGGTGTGATGTGGGGACGGCCATGTTAGGCTGTCCCCTTCTGATTCATGTATAATCAAAGCTACTTTTGTGTGTGTGTGTGTTTTCTTGATATTTGAACTTGCTGATTGGAGTCTTGTCAGAGTGGTGAACAGGTAAAGGCTCCTCGTGGTAGGAAGTCTAGTGTTACTTCCAAGTTCTTCAATAGTCTACCTGGAGCATTTTCCTTCCCTTTGGCCCTTTCCCACATAGTTAGGTCAACAGACCATCGAATCATTTCCTGATATGCTACCCTTTTGCCAGAGAGTCAGACATTACATCCTCAGAGCACACTGGGCCTGTGTGGTCCATCCTTACAGTTCAATAATTCGATCATCCTAAGTCACAGAACAACATGTGACATAAAGGCTTGAATTCCCAGTAGATGTGCTTTCGTCTTTAACCCTTTCTCACTTATTTGCGGCTGCTACCATTTGTTCAACTCTGTTTTCTGATGGGATATCATTGAGACACACGGTAGAAGATTGGAAAAAATGGAAACAGCCAGTCATGTACACATGCGGGCGATGACTTACTATTACATTTCTACTAGTGAAATTCTTCTGGGTATATATTGTAACATTGAATAGCAGCATTTCAGAAGTGTTCCAGTTTATGCAGCAGATAAATTTGATATTACAGCTAAATGCTGCATAGTATTTCAGTTTCTTATCAGAGTATGTATTTGAAACTTGCTTTTTCTCCTCAGTGTCCAGGGCTATGGATGTGGCACAGTTGGAGAACACTCACCTAATGTGCACAAGGCTCTGAGTTTAAACCCCAAAACCACAGAGAAAGAAAGGGAAGGAAGAGAGAAAGGCTGTAGCTAGACAGAGAAGTGTTCCCTAATGTAGGTCAGACTCCTTTACCTGGACTATTGTCCTGCCACACAGCCTGTGAGACTGAGGTAGAGGTGGGCTTATTTAGCAGGTGCTGATGTCTGCATAGACACCCTGTTCCGATAGATAAACACAGGCGAGGAACCGCCTGCATGCTCAGGTTGCCCAAAGTCAAAAGCTCCTGGGTGAGCTGCAGATAGTAAACTTTGAGGGGCTGAGTGGGAGGGCACTGATTCCATGATGGCTCTCAAATTGGAATTTTTGAGCTCTTTGTTGTTTTGAGACAGTTTTGCACTAGCCCAGGCTGTCCTAGAACTCAGTGTGTACCCAAGCTGTTCTTGAGATCATGGCAGTCCTGACTCGCCCTCCCAAGACATGTACCACCACTGTACCAGGTTTAGATGAGATTTGTTCATTTTGTTTTGGTGATAGAGAATTCTGAACACAGAGCCTTTACCCCTGAAATAAATCACCAGCCTCAGTCAGGATTGGCTTCTGATGAGCAAAAACAAGGTTTAAAAACACCCCACAGCTAGGGAAAGATAATAGCTGCAAAGGTAAATTTAGGAGACAGAACAGTTCTAAAAGTCCTGCTGGGAAGCTTCGTTTGTGTTTGATGAGTGATGGAAATGCCACTGTAGTGTAGAAGTATGCGCTATGATGTGAACACCTCCTCTTGAGACGAGTTCATCTGATGGCTAAGAAAAGATTGTTGCATCTGGCCATGGTGGGCAAGCCTGCAATCCCAGCACCTGGGAGGCAGGTCACTGTGAGTTCAAGGCCAACCTGGTCTACAGAATGAGTCCCAAGACTACACAGAGAAACCCTAGAAACCCTGTCTCTGAAAAACAAAAACCAAAAGGCCAAATCTATTAGAGGGGCTGGAGAGATGGCTGAGTCCTGACTGCTCTTCCAGAGGATCTGCATGGCAGTCACAAGTGTCCGCAGCTCCAGGATCTGACACCTCACAGACCCAGATACAGGCAGAACACCAGTGCACATAAAACAAAATGAATTTAATTAAAAATAATTTCAAGGCCACACCAAATTGTATATAACAAGACCCCAATCAAAAATAAACAAGGTGGGGTGTGGTGGTATATACCTTTAATCCAGCAGATGGCTCTCTTAAGGCCAGGCCAGTCTACATATCGAGTTCTGGGTCAGCCAGTCTAATGAGATTCTGTCTTTAAAAACAAAAACAACAACTTTTTTTCCAATTAAAAATAGTACATGTGTGTGTGTATATATTATATGTGTGTGTGTATTGGAATGAGAACACATTATCAGAATATGCTGACCCCACGTTGCAGACATATGCATACCATTTTCTATGCTAGCTGTCATGTTGTCCTGTTGTTACCTTTGTTCTCCAAATTCACTCTCACTTTGAAAATGCTTTAAAGTTCACAAAGGTGTGCTCTGAGTGCACACACCACCAGCCATGACTAGGCCGTGCTTTGGGGAATACTAGGTTAGGATGCAGATTTCCGGAGAGTGACTGGGGCTTGAGCTAGGCTAGTGTAGCGGGGAGGCAGCGCTGAAAGCGGACCTTTTGAGTCTCACTTTGTAGCCCAGGCTAGCCTGAGAGTCTACAGTCCTCTCACCTCAGCCTCCAGAGTGCTGGGTTACAGGCACGTACAGCTGTGCCCGGTAAGACGGACACAAGGGCCTGACAGCCAAGTGTGTGGAAGTCAAGTTCAGTTACTGCGTTTGACACAGAAAAGGTGATAGTGTTAAAGCTGTAGGGAGGGATCTGGGGAGCGAGAGAAGCGTGGGTCTGAGAGACAGGTGTGTGGGTAAGAGCAAGATCCTGAGGCTGGAAGGGGAGGAGTTGATAGAAGAGACTCTGGGATCCAGAGGGATTGCAAGCAGTTGAACACAAACACCTCAGAACCATAAAGAACATCTACAGGTACCAGTCATGGTGGCGCACGCACACCTTTATTCCCAGCACTGGTGCAGAGGCAGGCCAATCTCCGTGAGTTCAAGGTCAGCCAGGGCCACATGGAGAGACGCTCTCACACAAAAACAAAACAAAAACAGAAAACAACAACTTCATATGTGAAGAGTTAAATAAAGGAAAAGACTTGGCCAGCCTGGTCTATAGAGCAAGCAAGTGCAAGTTCAGGACAGCCAGGGTTACACAGAGAAACCCTGTCTCCAACCCTCCCCCCGCCCCATCCCCAGAGAGAGAGGGGGGGGAGGGGGAGAGGAGAGGAGAGAGAGGGAGGGAGAGAGGAGAGAGAGAGAAGCTTAGTTGGGCAGGAACTAAATGGACTTCTTTGGAGGGGTAGACGGAAGGAGAGTGATGGCTTGGGCTGATGGTTCTCAGCTTCAGCAGATAGACTGAGAAGGACAGTAACAACGGTGGGCATTCGCTGCTTTAGTAATTTGAGGGTATGTTTTGAGCATTACGGTCAAGGGGAGGGAGATAACATTTAAGACAGGAGAGCGAGTGCATCAGTATAGAAGAGAAGAAGTAATAAATACACTTTAAAGTGGTTGTACTTTAGAATTTGGGCACCGACCTCCAGTGTAATAGCCACTTGCTTCTGTGGCTGTTAAACACGTCTTGTGGTGAGGCTAGAATTCCAGTTTTGTTTGTTTGTTTTTCAAGACAGGGTTTCTCTGTGTAGCTTTGCACCTTTCCTGAAACTCGCTCTGTAGACCAGGCTGGCCTCGAACTCACAGAGATCCACCTGGCTCTGCCTCCCAAGTGCTGGGATTAAAGGCTCGTGCCAGTGCCATCCGGTGGTTTTTATTTATTTTTAACAGAATAAAATTCATTTAAATTTAAGTAATCCCACAAGACTGTTGCTCAGGACAGTTATAGACATTTAGTATTGGGCAGGAGTTGGAAGACCAGGCTGAGAATTTAGTAAGACCCTGCCTCAAAATAACTTAACCGCAAGCTGGGGCTATATATAGCTGAATGGTATATTGTTTGCCTAGTGTATGTGCAGGGTCCTAGAATCAACCCCTAGCATCATTTAGAAAACAGAATGAGCTAAGAATAGTGGGAGACTGAGAAAAAGAACTTCTCTTTTTGGTCTTTCTGGTGGTTTCTACTTTCCCCCATTGGTCGGTCTCTTCCTACAAGTGCAGATGTCTTCGTGCAGTGTGAAACCCTGAGTAGTACCGAGTAGCTGCTTTCTATTGAATTCCCGTGTCTTCATGGCAGCCAGCCTGGTTCTTGTGGGTACTCACTGTACAGGGCCAAGCAAGAACTTGGCCCCTTAGGCGGTGATGAGTAACTGTATTCTTCCCTTGCTGCCGTTGTTGGGGTGAGGAATAAACATGCATGGACCCCTGTCACCCAGCAGTGGGGCTTCTTTCATATGAATAACACTATAGCTCCTTGGGATTGGTTTTGAATGCTGTATTGTGTGAGTGTGGGCGCCGCATGCCTGACATGACCTATATGCATACGGAGATATGGAGGTCAGAGGAGGACTTGTAGGGACTGCCTTTCTTTCCCAAGACAGGTGTGGGAATCAAAAGTAAGGTGGATATAATGGGAAATATTCCTAGTAAAACAGCTTGAAAGGTGCGAGCTGACGAATTGGAGGGCCTGCTATTTTTCGGGCATGTCTCCTGAATAAGACAGGCCCAGCACCAAGCCTCTTGGAACTTATTGACCACTTCTGTCATGTCGTGTAAGGGTAATTGTACACAAAAACTTTCTGCACGTTAGCATATTGCTGCCCTCGGGCCAATACTTATGGATAGAACCTTCTGATGACTGTGACAGTGAAAACCTATCTGTAGCTAGGCATAGAGGCACGCGTCTGTAATTAAAGCACTTGGAAGGCTGAGGGAGGAGGACTGCACCAGTCTGAAGCCAGCCTGAGATGTGTGGTCTTAGAAAGACAGACCCCTGAAACACACCTGTACAGAGTCCCACCTCCTGGGAGAGCGGGGTGGGGGGGTGGGGGGCAGTGCAGCCGGCTAAGAGTCCCTGCCTTAGCTGGGTAGTTTGCCCCTCTAATCAGTCCCAGCGAGAGAGCAAGGCTTGCATCTGAAGTAAGACCTTGTCTCATATTGAAACAGGAAGTTGAACTTGAACTTAAAACTTGAACTTTTGAGCCAGGCATGGTGGCGCACACCTGTAGTCCCAACACTTGGGAGGCAGAGGCAGGCAGATCTTTGTGAACTCAAGGCAAGCCTGGTCTACATGGTGAATTCCAGGACAGCCAGAGCTACATAGTGAGACTGTCTCAGAAAAATAAAAAAGTAACCTGAACTTCAGAGTTGATAGTAGGGTGGACCAAGAATAATTTAGCTTTCCTATCCCCAAACTTTCGTTACCTCTGTGTTTAAGGTGGATCTACACCCAGGTGGGGTCGTACACACCTATACCCAGTCATTTGGGAGGCCACAGCTGCAAGGTCAAGTTTGAAATAAGCCAGCGAGCCAGAGCAGCAGAGCAAACTCCTGTGTCCTTGGCTAGAAAGCCCAGTTAAAGGCAGTGGGCCTGAGCATCGGTTAAGTGCTCACCTAAGTAAGGTTTTAGGTCATAAGATAAAAAACCAGCATGAGATTCTTGTTATGCCTAAGGAGTCTTGCCACTGCTGAGGAGTGTAGCCTATGAAAACTAGAGTTTCTTTGATTCTCTTAAGATTGAAATGTCTAACATTGGACATCCCATTTCTATTCAAAGCCAGAGAGAAAGCTAAGATTTTTCTTCCGAGCCTACACTTCCCCTTCTTCTCACTGGCCTGAATTAGAATCTGTGACCACTCTTGGCAAGGAAGTAACATAATTATTCTTTAAATTAATTGTGTTTGATTATTTTGTGTGGGTATTTTGCCCGTCTGTATGTGTGTGCACCACACGCATGCCTGGTCCCTGCAGAGGCCAGAAGAGGGCATTGGGTTACCTGGAACAGGAGTTCCCGGTGGTTATGAGCTGCCATGTGGTGCTGGGAATTGAACCCAGGTCCTTTGGAAGAGCAGCCAATGCTCTAAACCTCTGAGCCATCTCTCTACCCCCCATAATAGTTATAATTGGCTTACATCCTTTTGACTGCTGGATATACTGCCGACCCTACTAGGTGGATTTTCTTCTCTAAGCGGGGAGCCTGAATGTGAGTTGGGGAGGACTTTAGGGTGTGTCTGTCAGACACACCACAGAAAGAAACACCTGCAAGTGAGAGGTCGAGTGGGTGAAACAGTTAGGCATGGCGTCCTCTTGAGTCCTTCTATGGGGGACAGTTGAGCTGCTCTCTCTGGTTTTCCCTCATGGCTGAGTGGCTCTCTGAGCCCCCTGGATCTGCCCTGTGACTGCCTTAGCCCAGGGTACAGCTGCTGTGAAGGAAGTGTGTTTTCACGGTCAGAACAGTCCTGCAGCTGACACTCCACTGGGTCCCTCTGTTGGTCTTCCCACCAACCGGCTGACTTCCTGCCCCGAGTCCGGTGCTCTCCTGCGGCACGGTGCATGCTACGTAGACCAGCTAGTTGAAAGACTCGTGTGCCTCTGCCTTCAACTAACCTCCCCTTCTCTCTCTCTCCTCCTGTCCCTCCTGTCCTCTTCCCCTCTTCTCTGTTGCTGCTGCAGAGCGTCTCTACAGCCAACTTGAGCGAAACCGCCTGCTTTCTAATGAGCTGAAGCTAACGCTGCATGATCTGTGTGACTGATGGGCAGGGCTCCCTGAGCCCAGTAACCCACACCACTGACCTGGACCCCAGCAAAAAAGCTGATTGTCTTTTCAGAAGTTACTGTTTTGCCCTAAGCAAGTTGCTTTTCCATGAGGGCAGTTAGAGGACTGTGTTGGTTTCCTGACAGCCCCCGCCAAGTTGCAGTGGGTTTCTGTTGTAGGAGAGATTGTGGGTAATGAAGAAAAGGGTCTGGGAGATTGAATGGGGGAACTTGGGGAACGTTAGCTGCAGCCTTCTCACCTGGGCACCGCCTGTAGGGTTTGCACTTTTGCATGGATATTTTCTAACAATAAAAAGACTGACTTGATAAGATGGCGTAGCTGCTTCGTCTTCAGGCCCGGAGATGGTCCTTTGACTGGGTAACCAGGGATGGGAAAGAAGGGTGCGGAATGAAAACGGGTCTGGTTTGCCATCGCTGGTGTAGAATTTTTCTCCCGTCCCTGAAGCTCCATGCTTGCTGGCTAGGCAGACTAAGTGCGTGGGGTCCTACCGCTGGCTTTCTTCCTGATGCTTTTCCTTCTTGCTTCTTTTGTATGTAGTTGTAAGTCACTGTCCAGGGCCAGCTCTGTTGATACCTCTGCTGAAATCTCACTGGGGCTTTGCTTCCAAGAATGTATCTGGGTAGTATCCTTCTTGACTTAAACCTGAGGACTCCTGCCTCCCCCCACACACACACACCCCCACCCCTCTCATACACACACTGGAGAAAGTACCTGCTGCAGGAGGATCTTCCTGTGCTCTCTTTACTTGAGGTATTGATGATTGTCCTTATCTGCCGTGGTCACACTCTAGTGTGACATTTCAAGTAGACTCTGACCTGTGGGTAGAGGTAAGAGTGGGTCCTGGTGCTTTCCACCTGATCCTTTCAGGACTGAAAGCTTAATGCCTCTCAGTTGCCTGTGGGAGGGAGAGGAAATGGCTGGCTGATCGGCCCCAGTTCCCTCCCCCAAGGCAGCCCAGGGATGCAATAAAGAGCTGGCTTCTGTGGCTTCCTTGCGACTGGAGCAAGTCTGAGAATGGGGAGAACCTGGAACTGACTTTCTGTACTTCCTCTGTTCCCACTAGATAAGCTGAAGTGCACCAAAGAGGAGCACCTCTGTACACAAAGGATGCTGGACCAGACCCTGCTGGACCTGAATGAGATGTAGAGCACCCCAGTCCCTGCCCGCGGCCGCTCCTCCCTCTGACCCTGACTCCGCCTGAGGCCAGCCTGCCTGAAGCTGACCTTGAAACTGAGGGCTGATCTTTTTAACTGAAGGCTGCTTTCCCCTCCTGCCACCAACCCCCCACCCCATCCATGTCTTTTTCATAAAACTGTGTCAGCCTCTTCCCAGAGTTCCAGCTGGAGGGGCTGAGCACCTTTGGAAACAATATTTAAGGGAATGTGAGCACAATGCAAAGTGTCTTCACGGCACTTGTGATATGCACATTGTGATTACTCTTTGTCTTAGCAACCATTTGTAACATTCCAGGCACTTCCACAGCTTGGAGCAGCAACCCAGTTCCTTTTCACTGTTGGAAGGCGAAGGATAACGCTGTCTCCGCAGAGGAGGAACACAGGACCGGGCCTGCCTTGCTGGACGGCCAGCAGAGCCCAGGCAGGCTCCACTGTGGGAAACCTCAGTTCTCTGTACCAAGTTCTAGCCAAAC